GTACCCAAGCTTTAGATCCCGACTCCATTTATATGTAGTTCCATCATCATCAGTAAATTCTTCTTCACCCTCGGGTGGTGTTGAAGGCCTCTCAATGTCGTCATTTATGCTAGCTGCTTCAGCCTCGGCCTCTGCTTCCGCTTCTCTAACCTCCCTTTGCCATTTTTCAAACTCGTCTTCTTCATTAGTGGTGTTTTCTTCATTAGCGGTGACATGAACTATCAAATAATAAAAAAACAAAACACATTTTCAATAGTAGTCTTCAGATACATTAATTCCAAAAAAAAAAAAAAAACATATCAAAACCTGAATTGCTAGCATTTTGTGGAGGAGCGTCAATCGACAAGCCATGAACCGATGACAGCGGCTGCCAATCAGTGCATCCTTCAGACCACACAAGTGTAGTCGGTAACAAGTATCCACTCGAATAATGCTCTGCTCATGCGAATTAAACAATCTTAATCACATGATTTCATTACCACGAAAAGAGCCATTCAAACATCATACAGCGACAGTCCAAGTTTATCGATTACTTGTAAAACTGTAACGCAGTGGAAAAAATAACAAACATCACAAACTAAAATGCACACTCCTTACTACGAAACTAAAAGAACTAACAGAACATATAATCAATCAGCATTCAAATAATTCAGCTTAGAATCCAAAACTAAACAGTTTGAAAATACTCACCTTGTAACTCAGAGACAGTGTAAGGGCCCACGAGCTGTTGGTCCTGACCAAGAATATACCAGCCCACTCCAGTCTTTTCTGAATTTCATTACAAAAATAAAACTTTTGGATTCAATTACGCAATAAATTCTAACAGGAATTCAAAACAAATATAGTACTATGGAAACCCTTAATTTCTCATCAAACATTTCAAAAAAAATTCAAATAGACATTTTCGACATATAATCATAAGAGCAGAAAATGAGGAAATAGAAAAAATAGGATGGCGAAACAACGCACATACCTGGAATTTGAATTTCTTCGTTTGATTCCGACGCCATCATTCACGATTCTGTTGATTCCTGCTCTGCAACGAAAACACCTACCGGAGGTGGAAATTAGGGGGAATTTTTTAAGCGGGCTTCCCCTTTTTTGTCCATTGGATCTATTTGGGCTTATTAATGCTAAATGGGCTTTTTTTGGGTTTTCTGGATAATGGGCTTTCTTTTTTTTATTTTTTTATTTTAATTAAAAAAATTAAAAAGTGGTTTAGAAGAATAAATTAAGAAATTAAAAAAAATAATGAATAATGAAGGTGGATCATTAAAATTCAAACTATCCGTTACATTCTCCACTTTTTTTAATTTCTTCTTCATCACCAACGGTCATATTTCTCTCCTCCAAACATGACCGTTGCTTGCACCCCCTCCCCCACACAGTGTAAGTCTATGTGTATATATATGTATCTCTCATTCTCACTCAATTCACCATAGCAACATCTCTCCTCTCTCTCTTTCTCTCTCTAAATCTCTCTCTCTCTCTAGAAATCTCATATTTAATTTTTTCGTCAACAAAATTAAATCAATCGAAACAATGGGACTGTCAATTGACAACTCCGGCGACGGCGAATGCTCCCACCCACACACACACAAGGTCTTCCTCCTCAGCAACTACATACTCCTCGGCGCCGCCTCCAGCTGCATCTTCCTAACACTCTCCCTCCGCCTCTTCCCCTCTCTGATCGGCTTCCTCCTCATCCTCCTCCAGATCATCACCATCGCCGGCGCCGTCTCCGGATGCGCCGCCGCATCCCGCACCGCCACCTCCGCCGGGAAATTCTACGGCGCGCACATGGTGGCGACCGTCCTCACCGCCATCTTCCAGGGCTCGGTATCCGTGCTGATCTTCACACGCCCCTCCGATTTCCTCGGACACCTGAAATCGTACGTGAGGGTGGACGACGGCGTCATGATACTGAAGCTCGCCGGCGGACTCTGCATCCTGATCTTCTGCCTCGAGTGGGTGGTGCTGACGTTGGCATTCTTTTTGAACTACTATGCTTACGTGGAGAGGAGGGGTATTAATGGAAATAGCGGTTACGGAATGAGGAGTGGCAAAGTTCAAGACGATGAGGATTTGAAGACGTGGCCGTGGCCCTTCCAGGTCTAGAATATTTGGATTTTGTTGAAATCATTTATTAATTTATTTATTTATATTTTGGGAACTATATATTTATTTAATTAATTTCTATTGTAATGATGTAGCGATGGAGGATTATCGCTGTAATATAAATATTATTTGAATTTTTGGTTCATTTATTTGCTGATTAATTAGTATTCCAATATCCTTTTAGATTTTAGAGGGGTTATTTTGTAATTTGACATCACCTCAGCAATTTTTCTAAATTTAAAAGGATAAAGGAAAACAAAAACCAACAGCTACAAAATTAATCAAAAACAACTCAAACAAACAAGTGTATCTACATTCAACATAAACAAAAAACGACAAAGTTTCATCAAAATCAAAGACAACAAAAAAAAAAAAAAAACATTACAAAGGATTCATAATTTCAGAAAGTGCGCACCTACATGAAGAAAAATCAAAGCATAACTTCCCTACCAAAAATCCAGCTAAACGGCGCCGGAGAAGACTTCTTCGCCCTCGCCTGAGCTCTCTCGTCCAACCTCCTAATCCTAGGTGTCAACCCACAAACGTACTCCTGTGCTTTTCTCCCCTCGCCGGAAAGTCCAGTCAGCTTCTCCACCTCCCATCTCCCCACTAAAAACTCCAATATATCCGCGTAGTCCTTTGCAGTATAAACTCCGAGCCTCTGAGCCACGGAAGAGAAATTATCGAACAAATTATCGTCCGCGCCATCGTACATTAGATGAGCTGGCATAGAGATTTTCTTCCTCATCATATCTGCTAGGGCTAGTATTGTGCCGTCTGGGTCGATCTCGAATAGCTTCTCGACGATTTTGGTGTAGGCTGTTTCGTGGCGTTTCTCGTCTGCTGCTATTATGCCGCAGATTTGGGCTAGTTTTAGGTCGCCGTGTTCTTTTGCCAGCCTGGCGGTGTTCCCGTGGGAGACGAAAGTTGCTCTCTCTTGGAATGATGTGTAGATGAATCCGAGGTACGGGTTATTGTCTGTGCGTGGATCCTGTTACGTTGGAAAACCATGTAAATACAAGTGGTTATACCAATCAGCAGGAGTGGAAATTGAATCTGAATTCCGCCAATTCAAATCCGAAAAAAATCCCGAACATGAAAACATATAGTGAAACAAAGACAAGATCAATAAATCTTTTCCGTTTTCAAATAACTTTTTCCACACCGATTTTCAATTTTTAAATAAATGATATTTAAAAATGACATTATTTCCGTTATTTCCCAAAAAAATCCAAATTTCCTGAAATCGGAGTTCATTTTCAATTCTAATTTTTTTCCGAAACAATTCAAAATTTTGCACCCATAAAAGATTAAAAGCGAAAGAAGACAATAATCAAGAAATCATTTTCATCTTTGACTTACCATCCCCGATCCAATCAAGTACTGAATCGTTTTCTCGATTTGCCTCATGTCCACGCGCCCCGAGAGATAAAGGTACTTGTTGAGAAGATCACCATGCCTATTCTCTTCAGCAGTCCAAGCCCTTGTCCAGATAGCCCAAGGGGTCAAACTCGCACCCGTTTCATCGCGGACCCCATCTAGTGTATTGAGCATAGTTTGATAAGTGGGGAGAGCTTCCTCGGTAATCATATCACCGACCAAAACAACGAAATACTCGTCGGGAATATCTTTGCATCTTTTACGAAGCTCCTTGACTTGTTCTTGGAAGCCCTCGGAAGAAGGGTCCGGAAGAAAGTCGTTTGGCTGCCAGCATTTTTCGACGGGCTTTAGGAGTACGAGGATGTTGTCTTCCGCCCAACCGTGGAGTGAATTGAAGATCTCGCGTTTTTCTGGTGCTAAAGGGTGAGTCACTTGCGAACGAACTTCACGGGGCGGTGTGAAGGGCTTTTTGTCTTTTCCAACGTCTCTGCATTTTCGACGAAAATAAAGAATATTGGAGGGTTGGTGTAATGAATGTTAGGTTTCTTGAATTTCGTAAAAAGAAAATACTCATCAAGTGAATTTCTTGAAGGGTTTATAACACGGTGAGGTTTTTTTATCGATTTGATACAACACAGGGGGTACTAAATGCAATAAACTCATTTCTTGAATGTTGACAAATTAACATATGCGAGTAATTTTACGAAAGCAGAGTGCAGATATCAGTTAAGTAAGACTATGTATAGAAAGCTTTCATCAATTTGTAGTACAAATGCAATGGACGTTGTATACATTATAAAATGATGTCAGATATTTTACTGAAACCATTATTACAGAAATCATTTGTCAGTTCTCGAAATTTAGTACTTGGAACCACTTAAAACTTCACGTAAAATGCCTAAACACAAACTAACATGGATTCACTACAACGAATGTATCACAAAAAGCAACACACGTATAGGAAAACAAGAATGAATTGTCGTAATTTATAAACTATAGTTAATACAGTGTTCTGCTTTCTCCTCTATATTTCTCTTTAATCGGGGAAAT